TTTCTGTCCCCCTCACTTCTGAAATGATGGCTACGCCCCTGTATACTATTATATAGATATTTTTCCATTACTGTTTGAGTTAATGGCAGATGTGTTTTTAAACATATTGTTAGAGCAGTGACATTCATCTCTAACTATTAAAGATCTGACAGAAGGCTGACTTGCACAATCCATTTACAATGACAGTAAGTGTTTCTACTGCTTTTGATGGCTCATTTCTCTATTGTTCAAGGTTCACAGTCTTCTTCACCCATTAAAACAAAAGAACTGCGTGTATTAGGCTTTTATCCTCACTGTTATCAGTCTAGAACAATGTCATATTAGGGGTGTGTGATATTTTCTGGGATTTTATCGATAACTATAATTAGATGAGATTTTGCTGATTGTGTTATTGTGCTGGTATCTCAAGGACTACCGTGGACAGCTGACTCCTGAGGTTTTTGATATTCTTCATATTTATACTTTTAAAAAAATGCAGCGCTCCCATTTAGAACAACGGAAAAAATACGCTAGCCTCGGGAAAAAAATGCTTTGGTGGAAACGCGACCTAAATGCACACTCGCACTTGTCTAGACTTCACGTAATATATGCGTGCACTCTGTAGAGGTGTTTTGAATAGTTTTTGCAAAATACTCGATAATGTCAAATCGCACATCGTTAAAGCAACATTTACAATATTATTGCAGACGATATATATCGCACACCCCTATGTCATATTTACATTATGCACCACTAGCTGGGTGCCCTTACAACAAAAATATCTTCTGCAACATGGCTTACAGATTTGCCAGTCCCAATGCATCTCCTTCGTAAAACCCTTGGCCTAACCTGCACAACAATACCGTGGTGTAATATTACATCTGCCATCATCAGGACCCTTTTGTATGTGCACTTTGTTTTTACAAATAGACAAAGGTGTATAACAAATGGCACACTGCTTTTTAGTAAAGTTTCTTTTGACCCATTCAAGTTTTTGACTTAATATTTGATGTAAATATCAACACTATCAAAAACTACCTCAGGTACAAAGATGATGGTGGACACATTGTTTTTCTCAAGCAACACAAGGTGGAAGGGAGAAAGCTAAATTAGGCCAAACTCTAAATATTTCACAAGCTCTCATCCATTATTGACCAATGGCTTCGCCCAGCCAGGCAGATTAGAAATCAAATCTCTCTCCAGTCATCCATCAGTTCCCTCCATTCTTCGAGCACATTCACATGTTTAGAACCAAGAAATCTTCTGCTGCATGATGACATTATTGAAAAATTGCAAAGTACAGCAATATCCTAATTCCAATTTTGAAAAAAAATCATAATATGTTTAACCCATCTAACATTCTAGAGCACACTATAGGATAAAAAGGAAAAAATAATAATAAAGTGGCGACCAGGGCAAGTTTAATCACTTTTTTTCTAACAATTTTTCTACTGTTAATTTTTTCAAAGTCTTGACTACAAAAACAATTACTGTCCAGGAAAAAGGAAGAGTTCATTAAACACTCACTGACCTTTTGGCGAAATCCAGTAGGACATGTTTTCAAGCTATAGCCTATCAACCTTACACTGTAATATAATTATATAAAAATCTAAAACAGTTCATTTAAATTGTAATACTACTCCTGTATTTTTGATCAAATAAATGCAGCCTTGGCCTTGGTCCCAATCTTTGGAACAGTAGTGTAAAAGTAAACCTTACATCAAGAAAGTACACAATTTTCAACACAAAACAATTAATGAAACAGATAAAAAAGCATATTCAAAACTAATCTCCAAATCAAAACTTATATAAATTATATAAAATTTTAAAACATGTGACAACTTGCCCCAACCTGACAATTGTGACCCTGGACCACAAAACCAGTCATAAGTGTACATTTTTCTGAGATATTATTAGCTGAGATACAACTATTTGAAAATCTGGAATCTAAGGGTGCAAAAAAATCAAAATATTGAGAAAATCGCCTTTAAAGTAGTCCAAATTAAGTTCTTAGCAATGCATATTACTAATAAAAAATTAAGTTTTAATACATTTACGGTAGGAAATTTACAAAATATCTTCATGGAACATCATGGAACAATGATTTTTGGCATAAAAGAAAAATCGATAATTTTGACCCATACAATGTATTTTTGGCTATTGCTACAAATATACCCCAGCGACTTAAGACTGGTTTTGTGGACCAGGGTCACAATTATGAAAAATACATTTGTCTTAAGAGCATAGCTGTACCTTTCAGTTAAAAAAAATCTACTTTCATTATATAGGCTAGTTGACCCCTGGCTCTATGTATGCCAGTGTGGTTTTATTATTCTCATTTGTTTATCCAACAACAATATATGGTATGACTTAATATTTTTGATTGGAGACCATGCAAGCACACACACACATACCCACATGCATAAACATATCTTCGACCTCATCTAACCATTTAAGATGTCTTGATTTTAAGTTCCTTTACAACACAACATCCTTGACAAAGAAAATGATGTCTCCTCATTAGTTCCTTTGAAATTGACCACTCACCCTGCCAGCGTGTCAAAAACAGCAAACCAAAATCGATCACTAGCAATTACAGCTGTAGTTGTGATAAGTTCATTGAAACATCCCTCTATTTTTTCTCTGCTTTAATAACTCTCAATTTCTGTAGCCACATTAGATTAATGGCTGACTATGAAATTAATGTCGGATCAGATTTACTGGTGAGCTTACTCGCCCCCAGTTCACTGATCAGTTGACAATTATCCCACATCATCTCAAAAAGGCTGCCCTTATGAAATCCGCGCAGATGAGGTCAAACACTCAGACAGGGTCCATAAAAACCCAAAACACGCCTGCGAAAACAACATTAAGACACACAGTAAAAGTCATGATCTATAAACGGGAGTGTTTTGAGTATTCTTAGTGATTTAACAGCTGGATGTTCCGGATGGAAGTTTCGGGGCTCAGGTGCAGTTGAGTACTTACTGGTTGTGTTTCCTGACATCTGGATGATGCACTTGGACTCTTTACTCATCTCACGAGAGTTGAAGGGACGGACTCTCACCGCAACCTTCACCGAGGCCCCTGCCATGGTGCCTCTGTGTGTGTGCTGAAAGCACTGCTTTAAATGTCCAGATCACTGCTCACACCTGCAAAGAGAGAAATTTAACATTATGACACAGATTTCATCAAACATAAAACTGGAAGATCTATATCTTTATCTATTATATTATATTTAAATATAATATTATTATTATTATTATTATTATTTAGTCATTTAGCAGAATATAATATAATATAATATAATATATATAATATAATATAATATAATATAATATAATATAATATAATATAATAATTATTGGTTTATTATTATTGTTATTATTTTTATTGTATTTACTTTTATAATGTATTACAGTTATGGTATTAAATATATACATTATATTAATTACATATGTGACCCTGGACCACAAAACCAGTCATAAGGTTCAATTTTATGAAATTGTGATGTATGCATCACCTGAAAGCTGAATAAATAAGCTTTCCACTGGTGTATGATTTGTTAGGATAGGACAATATTTGGCCTATCTTCATGGAACAAGATCTTTACTTAATATCCTAACGATTTTTTGGCATAAAAGAAAAATCTATAATTTTGACCCATACAATGTTTTTTTGGCTATTGCCACAAATATACCCCAGCGACTTAAGACTGCTTTTGTGGTCCAGGGTCACATATGAAAAGCTGCTTACTAATTGACTGAGACATATTGATCAATGCACAAAAATATTAATGTACAATAAATTTACAGTAAAATCTATATTCCTTCATCTATGTGCAGCACTTCTGAAAAAAGAGAGGATATTACTCCTTTAGTAGCTCCATTACTATATATGAGCAGAGAGATATTGATTTAGACGATCTCGATTGGAAATTAAATTACACCTACTTTCGGGAAGGCTGTAAAACTTAGCTGCCTATCACCATAGCAACGGAGTGCAATTTCTGTTGTATCTATAACGAAATGGCATGAAGGAATGACAGGCTGACAAGCAAAAACATGATTTCAGTGGTGACTTACGATGAGGTTAAATAATAAATCTAAAAATGTTCAATATTTCGATGTTCAGATCAAACAGGAAGACTGTGTTTATATGACCTCACCGTAAAAGGATCATACATGGTCAGCTACAGATCTAGAGAGATACTCAGCCCGGCAGCAACAAAAGAATTGCACGACTGGCTAAATGTCAGTACGCTCCCTAGGATTACAATAACAGATAACAGAGCTGGCTGCCACAAACTCTGAGTCCAGGCTGAGTCCAGCCTCCTAGTCGGACCAAAATGGAGGTACAATTAATGTGTCATGCAGGGAAGATTTATGACCTATAAGCCTCAATCTCATTTTCAACGAGTTCTGCTTCTGTTTATAAGCGTGTTTGCTTCAGTAACTAAGAGGTTTATTTGAATAAACGTAAAAGAGCTCATATAGTGATCTCATGTGAGCTGCATTCTGCGTTTTTCAATTAGACTAACATCACGCTGAGTCACATTCTGGTGTGACGGAGTGGGTTCAGTCTCTCGTCTACTTAGACTACTTGACATGAACCTCAAAGGCAGCATGTCAGTTTACAAAGAAGTCAGAAAGCTGCAGTTTTTAGTGTTGTTGAGTTGATGAAGTGACAACTATACAACTGATTTTATAATACATGTATTGTGACCGGCATGTTGATTAATCAACCTACTCATGTCCATTACAAACAATTTCTGATTAACCTAATTAAATATTGTCACGTAACCTAAAAATTTACTTCACGTGGTAATATATTAATTGAATTGGTTTGATTCAAGGTTGAAAATATTACTTAACAAGTCTTTCTTAATTGTTACACCAATGACAGTATTTTTAAGGGTCAGAGCCTTAAAGGGGTAGTAGTAAAACAAACAAGGAGATATTTTGAAGAATGTTGGTAACCAAACAGTGGCTGGTAGCCATTGATTTCCATTGCATTTTTCCCTACTATGGAAGTCAATGGCTACCAGCAACTGTTAGGTTACCAACATTCTTCAAAATATCTTCTTTTGTGTT